CCCCCCCCCAGTCTGGTTTTCTCACGACCCCTTCTTGTCCTTCTCAAGTCCTGTTGCTGAAACTTAGGGGCAGATACTTCCCTTCTTCCTGGGAACAGTGGGCTTCACATGTCCCAGCTCTCAGACTCCACCACCCGCTCTGGAACAGCCCATTCCCCACAACAACAGATCCTCACCCCAAATCCTCTGGAGAGCAGCCCAGCCCTCTTAGTCCTGCCTGCAGCTTTGGCCCCACATCCCCACTCCTCCCCATCACCCCAAGATCCAGCCTGAGAGATCCAGCCCTGCCTGCCCAAGGGTCTCCAAGTGCCCTGGTGGGAAAAAGGGGGCTGGGCTGCAGTGTTTAGTGGCCATCTCACCCACGTGCTGGCCTCATTTCTTGCTGAGAGCCTGTGTGGAGTGTGGGGCTGAGCCCATCTTAGGTGACTTTTAGAGGGGAAGGAACTAAAGCCTCTTTCTCTTTTATTCCAGGAAGATTTCCCAGTGAGAAATGAAGGGCAGTGCACGATGTCTGGGAGTCTGGTAGGTGCTGCCTGTGGTGGGAAAAGCACCTGAGGAGCAGCTGGATGGGAGAGGGTTGGAGGGCTTGGGTTGAAGGGCCAGTAGGGAAGGAACTGTGTGTGCCCCTCACCTGGGCGAAACCCTCCAGGGCCTGTGGAGCAGGAGGGTGATGATTCCAGCTTCCTGGAAGAGGCAGGACAGAGCTGAAGCAGCAGTGCTGTGGGGCTGCTGATGTTCCTCTGCTTTTCCCTTGCAGGAGGACAACAAGAACTACCTGACCCTGGTGGAGCAGTACGGGGCTGGGCTGCTGGTGTGCGGGACGGGCGCCTGCGCTCCCACCTGCTGGAACCTGGTGAGCTGTGCCCACCTGTGCTGGCACCAGGGCAGAGCTGGTTCTGTCTGGGGCTGGCTGCAGCTGCACGGTGCTGTCCTGATCCTCCTCCTCCTCAGAGTGCCCCAAAGTGCCCCCAGTGCCAGCTCCCTGGGGCTGCTGGAGGTGCCGGGGTGGGACAGGCTCTGTCAGCAGAGCTCCCTACGTGTCACCTTCTGGGCTGGCTTCCCCCTCTCCTCACCTCCTGCCTGCAGCAGGGGCCCACTTGAAGATGGGTTGTGCCCATCACTCATTTGAGCTGTGCCACCCAAGGAGGGTTGGATCCTGATGATCTTGAAGGGTCCATTCCAACCTGAACCCTCCGATGAGAGCTGCTTTCCTCCTGCCCCAGGGGTGGAACTGGGCACCTGGCTCCCCTGCAGCTCCCAGGCTCCTAAGGGGGCTGTTTCTGTCCTTCCCCAGACCCAGAGAAGGGAGAGCACTCCGTGGGATGGCAGAGGGATTGCTCCCTTCACCCCTGACTCCAATACCCTCGTTGTCATTGATGGTAAGTCTGAGTGCTCAGGTGCCTTCAGCCGTGGGGCAGGCTGGGCTCTCCGTGGGGAAAGGGGCTCCTGAGCACCTCCAGCTGCTGGGGATTTGCCTTCGTGCTTCTTCCTGCTCTGCAGCTCCTGGAGAGAGTCCAGAGGAGGCCACAGAGATGATCCTTGGGCTGGAGCAGCTCTGCTCTGGAGCCAGGCTGGGAGAGTTGGGGGGTTCAGCCTGGAGAAGAGAAGGCTCCAGGGAGACCTTAGAGCACCTTCCAGGGCCTGAAGGGGCTCCAGGAAAGCTGGGGAGGGACTTGGGACAAGGGCAGGGAGGGAGAGGACAAGGGGGATGGATGAAAACTGGAAGAGGGAGATTGAGGTGAGACATGAGGAGGGAATTGTGGAGTGTGAGGGTGGTGAGAGCCTGGCCCAGGTTGCCCAGGGAAGCTGTGGCTGCCCCATCCCTGGCAGTGTTGAAGGGCAGGTTGGATGGGGCTTGGAGCAGCCTGGGCTGGTGGGAGGTGTCCCTGCCCATGCAGGGGGGTTGGGACTGGGTGGTCTTTAAGGTCCCTTCCAACCCAAACCAGTCTGGGATCCTATGATCCCTTTTGCCCCCTGGGAATGCAGATCCCTGTAGGGCAGAGCACAGCACAGGTGGTTCATTCCTGTCCAGGGTGTGGGGGCTGAGTCTGGGTGGGAGGGCAGAGCAGAGTGGGAATGGCAGGGAAGGAGGGTCCTGTGGTAACTCTGCTGCTTTGGACCTGTCAGGAGGGATGGGGCTTCCTAGAGAGGACAAGAAAGAAGAAGTCCCTGCTGCTTTGTAAGGAACAGGATGGGAGAGGGTCCCTGGGGGAGTTCTGCCAGCTCTGCTCAGTCCTAGGCAGTGGGGTCAGGGTTTCATCACCTCTATCCACCAGTTCTCTTGAGTTTTCCTGGCCTGCCTTTCAGCCCAGATAGTTCTTGGTGCTTTTGCTTTCTTCTCACAAATCCTCCTGCCTCTTGTGGAGACAGCCTGCTCCAATGAGCCTTCCTACCCCACAGGTCATGACATCTACTCCACCATCAAGAAGAGCCAGCAGAATGGCAAGATACCCCGTTTCCGACGAGTCAGAGGGGGTGGGGAGCTCTACACAAGTGACACGGTGATGCAGAGTGAGTGTGGGGAGATGCTGAACCTGGGGGACCTGCTGCTTTGCCCCACCAGCCAGACAAACTGGCCTCTGACTCAGTCCACACCTGTGGGCCCATAAGTGCTTTTTATACCTCTTTCCTTGGCTCTCATGAGCTCCCACCTGCAGGGCTGGGGCCAGTTCTGGAGCCCCCAAACCAGGAAGGACATGGAGCTCCTGGAGAGAGTCCAGAGGAGGCCACAGAGATGATCCTTGGGCTGGAGCAGCTCTGCTCTGGAGCCAGGCTGGGAGAGTTGGGGTGTTCAGCCTGGAGAAGAGAAGGCTCCAGGGAGACCTTAGAGCACCTTCCAGTGCCTGAAGGGGCTCCAGGAAAGCTGGGGAGGGGCTTGGGACAAGGGCAGGGAGGGAGAGGACAAGGGGGAAGGGATGAAAACTGGAAGAGGGAGATTGAGGTGAGACATGAGGAGGGAATTGTGGAGTGTGAGGGTGGTGAGAGCCTGGCCCAGGTTGCCCAGGGAAGCTGTGGCTGCCCCATCCCTGGCAGTGTTAAAGGGCAGGTTGGATGGGGCTTGGAGCAGCCTGGGCTGGTGGGAGGTGTCCCTGCCCATGCAGGGGGATGGATCTGGATGATCTTCATGGTCCCTTCCAACCCAAACCAGTCTATGAAGCACAGAGCACATCTTGGAGGGATACATCCTCTCTGCCTTCCTGGTCTGCAGCTCCAGGGCTTTTTGTTTGGGTTTGGTCACCTCTAGAGCTGTGGAGGGGACCAGCAAATGTGGTGTCCACCTGCAGTGCTGGGGAGGAGGGACCCAGTGGCTCAGTCCTTGCTGCCAGCTGGGGGATTTTCACCTCTTTGCTTCTGAGCCAAAGCAGCTGACTAGTGAGTTCCTCTTGCTCAGGCTGGGGTGGGGATGGGGAAATGGAGAGAAATGGGTGGCAAGTCCCCTGTCAGATGCTGGAAGGAAATAGGGTTGTGTAAAGGTGTCATCAGCTGCTGGGTGGTGGTGGAAACAGGAAGAACCACGTCCACCCTGGGCAGGGATTCTTTCCAAAAGCCGTGTTGAGCTGCATGGGGGATAGAAAGGACCCTCCTCCATTTCCATGAGCTTCTTACCCTGCCTCCCCAGTGACCCTGGGGAATGGGAGCTCCTTGAACTCCAGGGAGAGAATCAAATCAAGATCCCTCTAAGGCAGCAGGCAACCAAGGCACTGGTAAACAAACCTGCTAGACCCAGAGCTGCCAGGCTGCTCCCACACTTCCACAGGACTCCCTGCTCTGGGGACATCAACTAAGGGTGCCCAGAGGGACCTTGTCAGTGCTGGGGATGCCCTTTGTAGCCATGGGGTTTGAGTAGGAAGAGCATCACTGGGTTTTCCACAACAAACACAACCAACAGTGCAGATTGTTCCACCAAGAGAGCCTTCCTGTGGGGTTGTAGCTCCCCTGTGCATGGAGGGAGAAGGGGTTTCCCTTGCTGCCCAGCCCCTGAGGTTTTGTTGGGCTCTGGGGACTTGAACTTCAAGAGGAATTGACCTTGAAGGCTGAGAGAGTTGGGGTGTTCAGCCTGGAGAAGAGAAGGCTCCAGGGAGACCTTAGAGCACCTTCCAGTGCCTGAAGGGGCTCCAGGAAAGCTGGGGAGGGGCTTGGGACAAGGGAGAAGGGATGAAAACTGGAAGAGGGAGATTGAGGTGACACCTGAGGAGGGAATTGTGGAGTGTGAGGGTGGTGAGAGCCTGGCCCAGGTTGCCCAGGGAAGCTGTGGCTGCCCCATCCCTGGCAGTGTTGAAGGGCAGGTTGGATGGGGCTTGGAGCAACCTGGGCTGGTGGGAGGTGTCCCTGCCCATGCAGGGGGGTTAGAACTGGATGATCTTGAAGGTCCCTTCCAACCCAAACCAGTCAATGATTCTATGTATGGGTGCAAAGAGTTGGGGGGCAGAGAGAGGACAGGGAACCCCAGGGAGGGTGAGGAGCAGCTGTTAGTGCCATGCAGAGGTCAAGGTGAGCTCAGACCTGCCCTTTGCCTGGAGCACAGAGGGTGTTTGTTTCCCCACTGCTGGAGGGTGAGCAGAGCACTCTGGTTTGGGCTCCACCAGTGGTTTTTCAGCTGAAAGGTTTTTCTGACCACTCACTTCCCTTTCCAGACCCTCAGTTTGTCAAAGCCACCACGTTAAGGCATGAAGAGCCTCACCAGGACAAGATTTACTACTTCTTCCGTGAAGACAACCCAGACAAGAGTCCTGAGGCCCCCAGGAACATCTCCCGTGTGGCCCAGCTGTGTAAGGTACCAGGGGAACAGTGTGTGGTGGGGAAGGAAGAGGGGTCTGGGGGTGGCAGATGGACAGGCCAGCTCCTTGGTGTTACTGACTCATGGTTTGGCCCCTCTGGCTCCATGAGTTCCTGGGCCACAAGGTTTGTCATCTCCCAGTTGTCCATGCAGGATGCTGGGCAGGGGGTGCAGAGGGGCAGGAGGGATGCTCTGGCCATCTCCCAGCCCAAGCACGTGGCTGGTGCTGTTATCAGAAGGTTCCCAGGCCCAGCAGAGTCAGATGATAAGCAGGGCAGGGAGCAGGGAGAGCACAAAGCAGCCACTAACAAGCACCAGACTCAGATCCTGGAAGGCAAACAAGCCCCAGGGCAGGCACAGCAGCCTGCTGACCAGGAGCTAAACAGCAGTGACAGCTGGAAATTCCATCTAGCACGTTCCTGTCAACCCTGTTGTTATCCTGAACCTTTTGAACCCCCAACCCCATTGGATGGTAAAAAAAAATTGTAGTTGAACCCCAGCTGGTTGCCCATTGCCCCCAGGTTGGGGTAGGGGAGAGAACTGGGAGGGTAAGAGTGAGGAAACCCTGTGGGCTGAGATAAAGGCAGTTTGACAGGGAAAGCCAAAGCCACACAAGCAAAGGGAAAAGAAGGAGTTCATTCCCTGCTTCCCATGGGCAGCAGGTGCTCAGCCAGCTCCATCACACCTAATGGTGACGTGGGAAGACAAATGGCACCACTCAGAATGTCCCCCCTCCTTCCTTCTCCTCCTCCCCACCCCCAGTTTTATTGCTGAGCACAATGTGATAGGGTCAGTTGTCCCACCTGGGTCCCCTCCCAACTCCCTGTGCCCCCCCAGGCTGCTCCCTGGTGGGGTGAGGAGCAGGACAGGCCTGTGTAGATCCTGCTCA